TAGTAGTCGTAGTCGTAGTAGTAGTAGTAGTAGTAGTAGTAGTAGTAGTAGTAGTAGTAGTAGTAGTAGTAGTAGAGTAGTAGATAAGTCAGAACGTCGGAATCCGCGCCGAGAGCGCACTCCGACTTATAGATTTATTGTTGAAGCCAGAGTTGGGCCGCAACTTGGTATAAGTTTTTCGACCATCATTTTGGCGAACTACTACGTCCCCACTCCTCCTCCCTCTCCTCCTCCTCCTCCTCCTCCTCCTCCTCCTCCTCCTCCTCCGCCTCCGTCTCCGCCTCCGCCTCCTCCTCCGCCTCCTCCGCCTCCGCCTCCGCTTCCCCAACCTCAACCTCAACCTCCGCCTCGCCCCACTCCTCCCCCAATGCGATCAACGTGTCCTTCACTATCATTACGATTATCATCACCCGCACAATCACCACCATCGTTCCCAGGACGCCATCCTCAACGCCATCATCTGCAAAACCAACGACTGACGCCAACCATTTGTTGGTGCCACGCAATGAACCCACAAGAATACAACACAGCGAACAACGCATTGCGAAACCAAACAATAGCCGCTCAGCCCAAAACAGCCACATGAGCCCCAAACGCTTGTTGTGTTTATCAAGTCTTGTAGGCTGACACCGCGAGAGCAGCAAAACTGCCGCGAGGCCATCACAATCACACACAAACCACCCGCCCCAACACCAAACGTAACACCGCGGCGCCAACAAATTGCGGACACGCGTGAACAAACGCCAGGACAAACGCCAGGACAAAGCCCACAACCAACTTACGCAAACATGACGTGGAAAGCCCACATTGCAGCAACGAGCGAGAAACGCCAACAACCAGACACCAAAATGACAACCGTGACCTGCATAGTAGCGAGCACGCACGACTTCCCGCCGAATGCAACAACACCGCAAAACAAAACGAACACCCGTTCACGGAGCATGCCCAGATGCGTCCAGGACAATTAATGAGCACATCCTAAAAGGATAGTAACCAAGGAGGCTCCCACAATCAAATGAACGACCATGCCCGGATGCGACCCTGCCACTTGCAAACATCCTACCAGGACAGCTTCAGCACAAAACGCCCACCCGTTTGAAAAAA